CCCCCGTCTTGATTTTAGCCATGGGCGGCCAGTATCCTAGGTAAGAAAAGGTTATGTCCCTCTGAGGTCTCATATTTTAAATTTTTATATATATTTGTATTTTGTTTGTTTGTTCCTGTAAACCGCCTTGAATATTTTAAATAGAAAGGCAGGTAAAAATATTTAAATAAATATAAATAAATATTTTCTTCCCAAACCGCCAGCCTGCCCTGCCCACACTCCGCCCCCAGAACGCCTACAGTAGGCATTCTGGGGGCAGAGTGTTGCTGTCCCCAGCAGCCCTCCCCATGCTCTGAGGCTGGGGCCACACACCCACCTGCCCCTCTCCCCATAGTGGTGGGGGGCACACATGCAGGGTGCTGCTCCACCTCCCCACACAGGAGCGGGAGACCGCTTGGCTCCTGTGAGGGATGAGGCTAGGGGTGGAGCTGGGGGCTTGCCTCCCCCAGCTCTACCTTCACTGACCACCCATGATTTTAGCCTTTGATAATAGCAGCATTTGGACTCTGTCTTTAAGGCACCACAACAGTGTTTGTTCTCAGCCTAAGTCTACACATGCAATTCTAGTCATCGTCAAAACAAAATGTATTGACAGATTATCAGACAGAAACATTAAATAAAAACAAGTTGTAAAGAAACTCTCCAAATATGACAGCAAGCACCACTAGACGGCCACCATGCTCACATTACAGCACTGTGTGACAGTTACCCATTGTTACACATACGAGTCTCCCTCTCAGTTGCTTTGAATCAGCCCATGTCCACAAGCTGTCAGTGTCTGAACGTGTTAGCTGAAAACAATGTGCCCAGGAAGGTGTCAGAACTGGAGCCCCTCTTGCAGCGTTTTAAGAATCATACTAGCATTTGGACATTGCATTGCCTCAGGCCACTGGCAAATCAGCTTGAATCCAGTTGAAAAGGCTCCTGCTTTGTCCAGAACCCAAGTCAGGTGGGAACATATGCTATTTAAGTAACCCATGTAACATTGCATGCTTAACCGCAAGTTTTAATCATTCTCAGATAGGGTCTCTGAGAGATGCCAGTGTTTGCATGTTCCTGGATTTTCTCTTGTAAACAAACAGTAGCAAGTGTAAAGTGATCTCCTATCTCTGAAGGCAAACTGCTTATGGAGAGACACATTTCATAAACTCAAACTGCATTGGTCTTAGAGCTTGCTTAGTATTAACTGGTCATGTTTAAAATCTGCAATTTGTACGGAATGGGCACCATCTCCTGTAGTCTGTCTCAAATGTCATTATTATTTATTCCAGGGGAGTAGCACCAAAGAGTATTTCCTTCAAAGGACTTTGCAGAGCCTTGAGCGCTATTTCTACTTGATTGCTTTCAACTACTACCTTCACGAGCAGGTGAGTATTCTCCCTCTTTTTCCTTCTGAAGCCTGCTCCTACACCTCCTCACCCCACTACTTCATTTCAGCAGCTAGAGAGAGGTCTTTTTCGCCGTTACTGTGGATGGAAATAAAATTGTATGCAAAGCATTTGGATGCTGGAATGCTCAGCTTCTGCCACCTTCCAGATGTTGATTCCTACCTGTTGTCTTCAGATACTCTTGGTTTTATGGTTAGAGGTATAGTTCTAATGGACTTCTCTGAGTAAAATCCAACTGGGAGCATGTGATAGAAGTGACAGGCCCAAGCCTCTTTCTTGCTGTGTATGTGGCACATGACGTGCCTTGAGAAACCAGTCTCATTTCATCTCCCCTAGGAAAAATAAACCCCAGGGAGCTAGTGACTCTGAACTGCTGTATCAGCCTTTCACCTGTGGAGTGTGGAATCAAATCTTTGCTAATTTTCAAGTGAAATTTTCAAGGTTTGAAAACCTTTTCCTTGTCTCCCGCTTGTCCATGTCACCATAGTCTACAGTGATTTTGTGTCACTATGAGCCTGAGGCCCTAGACAGGAGTAGAAAGATAAATGCCAGGGTCAGGTTGTGCAAAGCTCTGAAATGGGATTTAAAAAAAATCCTCAAGTCCCTCAATAGAGACCTTTTAACCTTTTTCTGAACTGCTTAGAACGAGTGCCCCATAAAGTTGCTGTTCCTGTAAGATGTATGTGAAGTACATTTACCTGTTCCTGAACAAAGCAAGTTTGTCTCTCTCTCTCTCTCTCTCTGATAGTATCCACTGGCCTTTGCCCTCAGCTTCAGCAGATGGATGTGTAGGCACCCAGAGCTCTACAGGCTACAGATGAACATGAACCTCTCGGAGCTCACAGTGACTGGGGAACTGATAACAAAGGGGACGCGAGTGCTAGTGAGTGAGCTCTTTAAATCTTCCTGCAGATCCTTCCCTTTGCAGGACACAGGCAACACAAGGGGCATGTGAGGCTTATTTCGGCCTCTCTAGAACCACGCATATCAGAGCCAGGTCAGCCAAACGCTCCTCAAGGGTAGCGGAGGGGTGGGGGAACACACACGTGCTTCTGTCAGTTTACACTGAAAATTCTTTCTGGGACCAAACTGGAGCCCTTGATCCTCAGCTTTGGAGTGTTTGAAATCTGGAGCCTTGCTCTGTGTCTCTGATCCCATCCCAGCTTTTGTGTCAGAGCTGTGCACATTGCAGTGCTTCGGACAGTGTTTGAAAGAGAGCAGGAGTCTGTTGGTGGCAGAGGCAGTTTTACCAGTGTTTGCTGCTCTGCCAGGAGGAGTGACCAGCTGGAAGAGTCTGTCTGGGAAAATCTGTGATGGCAAAGGAGCCAGCTGAACCAAGAGAGTGGGAATGTGACTTTTGTCTAAACTGCGGCTCCAGCTTACTGAGTTTTTGTTCTGCTGCAGGTGGTGGATGAGCGTTTCTCCCCAGATGTGCTTAGCACAGTCAAGGAAATGAGTGTAGCCAACTTCCGGAGGGTCCCCAAGATGCCTGTGTATGGGATGGCACAGCCCAACTCCAAGGTAAGGATGCAGCATGGTGGCGTTTCTGGCATAGAGGAAGGTGAGCAGAGTGCAGGACTGAAACCTGAGTTGTGGCTTATGCAGGGCAGGATGAAACATGCGTGTGCTGGGAGTTTCATTTTGTTGCCATTTCCCATAGGCTATTGGAAGTGTCCTGAGCTACCTGACTGATGCAAAGAGGAAGTACTCCCACATCATGTGGATTAACCTCCGTGAAGAAGTGGTGCTAGAGGGAAATGAACAAATCTACACCGTCCGGGAACTTGGGAACCTAGAACAACAGATTACAGTGCCTGTTACTTCACCTGAACAACTAGAGGTGAAAACTCAGAACCTTCTTCCCTTTCTGCTTTTACTGTTCTTGGGGGTAGTCTCCCCTGCTACTGGACATGCCTAAGGTAGTGAACCAGGCACTTTAAAGTGTTTTGTTGCTGTTTGGTCCTGCCACATGTTGCACAACCAGCTTGTATTGCATTATTTTCATTGGCATATGTATAATAGCTCAGTGGTTGCAAGCAAATGCTACCGAGTAGCTAACATACAATCTCAGAGACAAGGTGAGTGAGGTAGTGTGTTTTATTGGACCAGCATCTGTTGGTGAGAGGGACAGGCTTTCGAGCTTACACAGGGCTCTTCTTCAGATCTGGGAAACTCAGGCCAGGTCTACACTACAAATCTATATCCATATAACTACATCACTCAGGCATGTGAAAAATCCACACCTCTGTGTGACAAAGTTATAAATGCCCTTCCTTCCTATGTAGCCAGCGCTGTGTTGCCAGGAGAGTTTCTCCCATCGACTTAATCCATCTCCCCAAGGAGTGGAAGCTAACTACGCCAATGGAAAAAGCTCCCCCATTGGTGTAGGGACATCTTCACTAAAGCACTACAGTGGTGCGCTTCATCAGTGTGTAGACCTGCCCTTGCTCAGTGTCACTGCTCAATACAAGGGTTTAAACCAGGGGATGGCAACCTTTTCAAACCAGAGAGCCAAACTACATCAAAATTCAGAACAAGTGGTCAACAAATAGCCCGTGTAAGAATGCCCATTTGCATGACTGAAAATATACAACTTCATATTATTGATATCTGACATGATTAATAATAGCATAAATGAAATGTAGTGTCATACTTTATTTAATGGGACTTCTGCTGCTGCATTTTTTTCACGTTTCTTTGACATTTACATCATAACTGGTCAAATTTAGGTTCATGTGCGCATTCAGGCTGTCTTCTGTCAATCTTATGCCAGGGTGCTGGGAATGTGGGTGCAGGAGTCTGGGCTGTGGTGTATGAGAGGCTATGGGTAGGGGGTTTGGATGTGTGGACTCAGGACAAAGGTTGGGGTATGTGGGGTGGCAGAAGTGTTATGATAAGGGGATGGGGATGTGGGGGTTGGGGAGACTGGGGATGTGGGGGTATGAGGGCTCAAGGCAGGGAGTTCAGGTGTATGGATTCAGGGTTGGTGTGTGCGGAGGTGCAGGAGTATTATGATGCTGCGGCCAGATGGGGGCTGGGTCTCATAGGGGCCTTGTCGGCCAGGCTTCATTTTTAAATAAAGTAAAATATTACGTCCAACACAAAAGGTTCCAACGTTGTCTTTATTTATGGGAGGGGTGGGGAACCTTTTTGGGGTCAGCGCCACTGAGATTGGGAGGAGGAGGCAGTTGTGACCCGAGGCACAGGATTGGGGTGCAGTTGTGACCTAGTGCAGGGGTTTGGGTAGCGACCTAGTATGGGGTTTGTGTTATGACCTAAAGCAGGATGGGATTGCAGCCTGGGGCAGGGGGTCGGGGTGCAGGGTCTGGGTTGGGGGGATGGCTCAGGATGGAGGCAGGAGGTTTGGGTTATGTGGGGTAGGAATGGGGGGGCAGAGGGCTGTAGGGGAGGGAGAGACTGGAGTGTCAGAGGCACGCTCTGGTGGGACACTTAACAGTGAGACTCTGGCTCAGCAGGTTTCTCAGGAGCCTGCCCTCCCCTCCCTCACCCCCCCAGCTGCATGGCCATGAGCTTGGTGACTAAGAGCCTGAGGGGAGGGAGGATTGTTTTTTTGTGCACTGCCTGTTCTTGAAACAGGCAGCTTCCATTGGCCAGAAACAGCCAATGGGATTGTGCTGGGGGGCTGGAGCAGCCATGAGGCACCACTCCTCCCTCCCCTCTCTGTTCCACGTGTGTGGGGGTAGAGCAAGCAGAGGAGTCTTCCTGGGGGCTCCCTGCTGTGTCCGTGGCCGGACTCTTTTCCCCAGGCCTGCAGTAGCACGAGTGCATGTTCCCTGCTGCCAGGAGGAGCAAAGGAGGGCTGGGCTCAAGCTTCAAAAGAGCCGTGTCTGGCTCCTTAGTAAGCCAATTTTGGCTTGTGAGTCATAGGTTGCCAACCCCTGGTTTAAATAGATGGGTTAGCATAAGTAGGTAGCATGTTTCAAGGATGCTTAACAGGCTTAATGATCTTTGAAAAGCGCAATAATTACTTATGTTAAACACTCTGTTCAAATCTTGTATTTAGCAGTGATGGTTGGACTGTGTCTACAGTGTGCACCTTAAACAGTACGGCTGTGCAGCAAAATAAAAGCACCTCTAATGAGCAGCATTGTCTGCATTGACAGGAGATTGGCTCCTGACAAAACACTGTCTATACTCTTCTCTCCCTCCCCCCCCCCATCCTTGAGCCACAGTCATTTTAACAACGAAAGTGCCAAGGTAGACAGCCTCATTTTTCGAGACCGGAGGAAGAGCAATGTGTAAGCTTGAGAGCTCATTTCTCTTACCAATAAAAGATATTACTTCATCCATATTATCTTTCTAATATCTTGGGACCAACACGAGTATAGCACTGCATATAACACAAATTCAGTAATAACTGTGTAATATATCCTTGTCTCGGAATATATCACAGTATTATTTTAGTGTAAAACATGAGAAAAATAGGTAGTTAATTTTGTGAGTGAATAGTGCACATATATAAAATTAATATTTAAAGTATAATTTTTTATGATATAGTTATTTTTCCCCTCTCAAATTCCTGGAGCATAGTGTGAGTGGGAAAGGAGAACAATAGTTTTCATTTTGTTAATAAATAAGTCAAAATATCTCCAGCCTTACTATACACCAAGCTGAAGATGACAAGCTGCCATCAGCGAATGAGATTTACATTTGATGTACGTGAGGTTGCATTTAAGATACTCCATCCACATGCTCCGCAGAAGGCTATGGACCTATGAGCCACTCTCCCTCTTCTGCTGTCCCAAGCTGGTCACCTGCCTGCAATGCTGCTTAGCACCCACCCAGTGTGTTGTGCACTTGGCACAGAGAATTTCCATTTCTGAGTATTGACCAAAGATTTTTCATTTCTCCTAATTTTTTTCTTTTTCTCTCTTCCCCCTTCTCCCTCACGTTGTCATGCCAAATATAGTTTTGCACATCATAATGTATTTTATATCAGCTGTAACCCCAGGCTCAATGGAGTCGATACAAAAAGCACAAGTTGTAATAACATTATTAGTAAGCATTTATACAGCACCCTAAATGTGTATAATATTTTACAGAATGTGCGATAAAACACAACTCCAATCTGGAGAGTTTCCAAGGTGGCTTGAAAGCGCATGTAAATGATAGTTGGGCAAAGGAAAATAGAGATATTCATGGTTGGGCTTTTAAAAAAAAGGGTAGTCATGACAACTGAGGGGAGAAGAGTGAACCCAACACACTGGTGAGATTGTGTGATGGGATGATGATAAAGCTGGTACTGGATGTGTAGAGAAGGGAGTGCGGAGAGACCAGATTTATGAAATAGGCAAGCCCATGAGGGTTTTTAAAATGAGGAGGGCAGTTAACAGGATCTTGAAATAAATGAGGAGTCAGTGGAGGTGTCTGAACAAGGGGCAGATATGGTTCCATTTCTTTGTACAAAATGGAAGGTGGGCAGCAGCATTTTGAACATGTGGGAGCATGAAGAGTTGGGAGTTTGGTTTGGCCATACAGAATTTGAAGGAAGTTGTGTCAGGCAACAATGAAGATGTGGATCAGGACTTCACCAGAGGTAGGAGTTGTGTACAAGCGATGTTGCAGAAGTGGTTATGGGACCACTTGTACCCCAGGGAGATGAGAGAAAATGGAGTCCAAGTCTGACCTGAAGAGATTAAGGTCTGTGGAGGGACATATAAGGTCAGAGTTAAGGTGGGTAACAGAAGCATGTGAATTTGTTTGCTCACAACCTGGGCATCTTCTGTGTATCACAACACATCATAAATTCCTACCTTACTAGCAGAGGCTTTGGGAGAGGTCTAGCCTGAAATAGCAGGAGTAGTTGTAGGTGAGGCCAAGGCATATTAGCAGAGTTTTGTGTGGAAATTTTCTAAGCTGTAGTCTTGCATGATGCCTGGCATTAGTCCTTTACTTCCCTGAGTCCTAAGTTCACCTACAAATTTATGGGAAAATAAAAATTCCTTTTAAGGTGAGAAAGGAAGAAAGATTCTGAAAACTTATGTCACGTGTCCAGATAACCAAGGAGTCTTGTTCAGTTTCTTTCTCTCTCCCCTGCAGAAATTAGAGTCCGCCTTGAAGGATGACGTGCTGAAATCCCAGAAGTGGCTGGAGGTATATGTGGAACAAGAGAAGCAGATGAAGATGTTTAAAAGTTGCCTGACCATGCAGGAGATATTTAATCAGCACAAGAGTACATGCCAGGGGCTGGTGTACAGACGAATCCCAATCCCAGACTTCTGTGCTCCCAAGGAGCAGGTAATGGAGGAGCTGGAAGCTATTCCATGGTTTCAGCACTAGAAGTCCCCTAACAGGGCAGTGATGAATAGTTTCAATGAGCCCCCCCCGACAGCCCCAGAGAGAGGTGGGTGGATAGGTCAGCTCTTCTCTCTCCCCTCCCTCCCTTCCCAACTTGTGCTATGTCTTTCTTCCTGTGATCAAACTGATACCCTTCTTCTTAGTTTGACTATCTTTTCTGGCTCCCCCTCCAAATTGATACAGCCTGTCTCCGACTTATGAACCGGTTACGGACCAAACAATTGGTCGTAACTCGGTTTCTTCGTAATTCGGACCCCATTGAGTTACACGCGACCGCGCTGTTCGTAAGCGTGGATCGTGATTGTAACTCGGGGTCTGCCATTTACGACATTTTTGGTCGTAACTGAGAACGGTCGTAAGTCGACTGTTCACAACTCAGGGACTGGCTGTCTTCTTTCTTTTGTTTGCGCTAAATTGTGTGTGTGTCTCACTACCTCTTCCATTTCCCCCAGAAACTGTTTTCCTCTCTTCTGGTTCCCTACGTTCCCTCACCTTTAGGCACTACAGCCTCTTTCTTAAAGGAGTGGGGAGCTGCTGCTGCTGTACTGGGTAGGTGGTTGCCTAATCCGACTGCTCTATTTCCCCTCTTTCACTGTGTTCATGCTCAGGAGAAGTAGATGAGGCAAGTTACCAGACAGTCTCCTGTCTGCTCACCACAGTGGTCCTGAGTGCCTGCTGGATAACCTTGCTTTTGAAAAAAACACCAAAAGCGGCATGATTGTAATCTCTAAGATAAACTACCTAGTACCATAACCCTTGGGTAGTTCTGGCCAGAATGAGATGCTCTGTAGCCCTTGGTTGTGTGTACTGCTTGTGTTCTTGCCCAATTGTATAGGTGTTTGAAGAGAGTTGGTGTGTACTCCTTTAGGGAAGTCCTGCAGTTGCTTACAATGTTGAAGCCTCTCCATCTTCCTAGCATGAGAATCTCTGTTCTGTATTCTAGTCACTTGGCCCTGGCAGGAATCAGGGATGCTTTTATCCAGGAAATTACATTTCTTTAGTTTTCAGGTCTGTGTGTTTCTACAAACACTGACAGAATCAAGACCACTTTGCAGTTATGTTTATTGCAAATGCATTATTGCCATCTTCTGGTCTCAACCAGCAATTGTAGATTTGTACCTACAGTTGTTAGTTTTAAACTTGCCTTTGAGTTTCTGAGGGTATGTCTAGACATCGTTGCTCTTTCGGGATACCGGAAGTATCCTGAAATAAAAACGCTGCTATTTCTCGAAATAGCAGGCGCGCTATTCTGGCATCTCTGTAACCTCGTTCTGCGTGGGTTAAGGGATTTGTCAGAATAGTGCCTTATTTTGAAATTTGCCACTGTTTAGACAGCGCCAAGTTTCAAAATAAGCTCTTTTGATTTAGAGTCGGAATAAGCTACGCAGTTTGCTTATTTTCATGGCGCCCTTTATTCTGCTGCTCCCTGGGCGGGCGAGGGGGGAGCTATAACCCGCCCCCCTGCCTTCCCCAGGCGAACGCGTAGCTTATTTGAATAGAAAGGTGCTGTCTAGACGCACCCTTAGAAACGTGATGTCAATGTAAAGAACTGTAATATTATCCCAGAGAGATTTCGTATCCTCATTTTCACTAGAGGGAAAACTCTCACCTTAGTATTGGTACAAAGTTGTGTGTTTCTTTATGGCTGCTTAAGTAGGAGATTCAAGCGCAATCGGTCTGCGTTTGATAAAAATCACACACTATTCTTCCTTGGGAGGAGAAACTTTAAGTCCAGTTTAGTAATACTGTCATGTAACTGGTGCTTTGTACCCTGATGATAGACCCAATAGGAATAAATGAATGGGACAGCTGCTTTTCAACACATCGGGGGGGAGGGGGGGGAAGAAATGACCAATCACAGTAAAGACTCTTAATGATCTCTGTGTGGGAGAATGCTGCTGGTTCATAACATATCAGGGTTTACAGTTAAATGGAGGTTCACACAAAGACTCAGTGGTATCCATCTGTAATCTGGAGCAGAGCATTCAAGTTCCACGTTAGGAGTAAGGATCTTACCTAGCTACTGACATTGCAGTGCATGCTGCTGACATTCAGATGCAAGTTAAAGATCCCATGGCACTTTCTGCAAGAATGAGAAGAGAATCCGTGTTGAATTCTTTCTGTTGTTCGTTTTCAGGCTGTTGATCAGCTGCTGGATGCGATGAAGAGTGCACTAGCTGAGGATTCTCATGCGGCCTTTGTGTTCAACTGCCATAGTGGCCGAGGGAGGACCACCACAGCCATGGTTATTGCTGTCCTCACACTCTGGCACTTCAACGTAGGTATTAGCTCAGGGACCGGTCTCTTGTTCTAAGGAGGGTTTGCAACAAAGGAACCTCTATGGAGTGAATCCCTGAACACCAAGCCCCAGTCCTGTGAGCAGTGAAAGAGGGCTGTGCAGGAACCTCAGTAGGAGCCTTTGACTGAAGGTCTCTAATAAGATTTGTTTAAACTGCATTGCTGCTGAGCAAACCAAAGAGTTTCCATTATTGCTGCGAGTGTGTCTGCTTAAGTCAGGGCTGGGCAATAATTTTTGATGGGGGCGGGGGCCCACACCAAGATTTTGGTAAGTGGTCAAGGACTGCACTTTTCTATGGAGAGGATGCAGAGACTGGGATAAAGGTTGGGTGTAGAAGGATGCTCGGGATAGGGGATTTGGGTGCAAGAGCTGGTGTGGGGTCTGAGGGATTTTGGGTGAAGGAGGGGGATGTGACCTGGGGCAGGGGATTAGGGTGCAGGGTCCAGGAAGGGGGTATGGGTGCAGGAGAGGATTCTGGCCTGAGGGAGGGGTACAGAAGGGGGGGTACAGGATCTGAGAGGGAGTTATGACCAGGAGTGGGGGTGAGCAGAGGGTTTGGGTGATGACCTGCAACAGGCAGTTGAGTGGGAGTGGGTGGAATGCCAGAGACAGTCTCTGGCTAGTTCCCATTGGCGTCACGGGACAAGGGGGTTGTTGGCATGGGCTGTAGGGGTGTCGAGGGGTGTCTTATCCCGGGCTACCCCTCAAGTCTACCCCTTTTAAAGATATGGCTCAGCCTTCTCCCAAGGCCATACCCGTTTCCCACACTCAGCACTAACCCGGATGGGCGGCCTGCATCCATATACGAGTCTGTTAACGACTATGTGGGTCCCCTTGTGGGACACAGCGTGCCAAGGCTGGTAGTGACAGCGGATGCAGGACAGGCTCCAGGCAAGACAGACGTGGTTGACTAAGGGAAGTTGGCAGCAGGGGGTGTTGGGAAATGGGAGACGGTGGGCATTGGGGTGACAGGCTTGGCAAGACAGACTTGTGAGGTAATGGGGTTAGTGGGATATAGGGGATATCTGGTGATGGGTTATGCAGGTTTAATAATACAGAGACACAGAGTACCAGGGTTGGCTGGATGGAGTCAGAGGGTTCTGGGGTTGGAGGTAGAGGGATGTGCAATGACAAGATGGGGTCAGAAGTGAGTGGGTTGGTGGACAGGTAACGTTTTATTTGCATATTTATTATTTATATAATGAATATGCAAATGAATGCAACTATGCAGATATGCAAATAAAATATTACTGGGCCACCAAAAATTTGTGAATGGGTTTGCTGATCCACAGAGTTCTGCTGCAGTTTGCAATGCAGCAAGGTTTTTTCAAAGAAAAATGTGGATCAGTGTTTTAAAGTGGCCTTGGTGTAGCTTTGGATGGAGGAGCCCAACATCTCCTTGTGGTTAACTTGGCAAAGAAGCTTGAGAACAATTAGTAGGGCACCACTGTTTCCCCCAGTTTTTTCAGCATCTTCCATCAAATAATGATGTAAGCAACTAGTCAGCTAATGATGTGACTAGTCCTTCCCCCTCTCCCCCACTTGCTGCCTCTATCACAGAGAGGTAGCAAAGGAGGAACCAGGAGCTAGCGTTGGGAGGAGCTGGCTTAAAAGCCAGGTCCCCCCCCAGCACAGTCTCCGCTGTGCGTAGGGGAGGTAGAGGCACAGCAGGAAATGGTGCAAATGGGGACTGAAGCAGTCTCCGCTCGCACCGCTTCTGCTGCAATTCTACTTTTGAAATGTACAAGTGTCCCAGCAGGGCTCTTGTACATTTCAAAGATTCAGGTGCCATAGGGAGCACAGGCCAGTTCCCAGCTGGCCTCGCACTCCGTGCTGGGTTTCCGCTTTTGAACTGTAGCAAGAGCCTGGCAGGGCTCTTGCTACAGTGGAGAGGTGGAAGAACCCTTATAAAATAATTGAATAGTTGATGGAAATCCCATCAATTATTTGATTATTTAATCAATCTCAATGTAACATCCCTACCAACAAAGGCATTGTAACATGATTTGGAAGTATTAAGGAATTAAGTCATTCAACACTTCATGAAGCAGTCTCATTTTAAAGCAGGTAAGCTGGGCAAAAAGTTTAGTGACTTGTCCAAACTGATTCAGTTAGTCTGGGACAAAGGTAATCTAGTGGTTTGTGATCAGCTATACAAGTTGAGAGACTTGGCCCTGTATTCCTGATTCTGGCACTGACTGGATGGGCATGTCATTTAACTGCTGTTCCTCAGTGTCACCTTCTATGAGAAGAAAACAGAAGCATACATAATTTTGAAAGCTCTGGGTGAATAAAGCTACACGTTACAAAGTATTCTTTGTAAAGCTCATGCATTTTGATGTCCATTTCTTTGCTTAGATTCAAACCACAGTGTCCTACATACAGGGTTGTTAAGTGGCTCAGGAGTCAACTCAGGAAACTGTCACATGGGAGGAGGTATAGTTGCTTAGCTCTTAACCTCTAAGTCTGGCTTGGCTTCTGCTTGCTGCAGGGCATCCCTGAGATGAGTGAGGATGAAATTGTGAGTGTTCCTGATGCCAAGTACACCAAAGGGGAATTTGAGGTGAGTCCTTCTCCTGTATTAATCTGCCTCTATTTCAGGGGGTCTTGTGAAATCTTCAGGGGGCTACTCATGTCCTATTCCTTCAGACAAGCCTCAGCATTTCAGTGATTTCATTCAGAGACTAAATTTCCCATTAATTGATGGGTGGGGCATGTGTTTATGATCCTGAACAGCCAGACTGTGGTCTGTTCACACCGTGGCTAAAACTCTGATGGTGGTAACGCAGTTCAAGCCCGTATCCTGGCACTGGGGAGGGAGGGTTGCCTTTTGTAGGGCTCTGACACTGGGATTAAGATGTTCATGCTTCCTATTTAGAGCGAGAATGATTTTTTAAAAACAGCTGAAGACCCTTGTGCAGAGCAAGGCAAGAGGAGGATAATGGTCTGTAAAAGATTAACACATGGTTAGATTGGTTTCAGGAGAAGCTAAATGTCTGTTTCCATCAGCTACATCAAAGAAGAGACCAGGGCTACATCTACACTGGCCCCTTCTCCGCAAGGGGCATGCTAATTTTGAACTTGGGAATAGGGAAATCCGCGGGGGATTTAAATATTCCCCGCGGGATTTAAATAAACATGGCCGCCGCTTTTTTCCCGGCTTGGGGAAAAGCCGGAAAAAAGCGTCTAGACTGGCACGATCCTCCGGAATAAAGCCCTTTTCCGGAGGATCTCTTATTCCTACTTCGAAGTACTTCGAAGTAGGAATAAGAGATCCTCCGGAAAAGGGCTTTATTCCGGAGGATCGTGCCAGTCTAGACGCTTTTTTCCGGCTTTTCCCCAAGCCGGGAAAAAAGCGGCGGCCATGTTTATTTAAATCCCGCAGGGGATATTTAAATCCCCCGCGGATTTCCCTATTCCCAAGTTCAAAATTAGCATGCCCCTTGCGGAGAAGGGGCCAGTGTAGATGTAGCCCATGTGTTAGCCTATATGAGCCATGTCGAAAGAGCACTTCCATTTGACCATCAGCTGCAGGCAATCTGAGTATCAGGTAAAATAGCTAGAATAAGAGTTTGTTTTTAAACAGGGCTCTCTCCCCAATATCTATAACCCTCCTGAGTGCAAATTTTAACCAGCGGAAAGCTCAAGCCTCACTGACCCTGCTGATGAGGGTATATGATTATGGCATTATGCCCTATGTTTTTAACCCCAGCCTCTGTTTCCCTACTGAGACATTAGTCAGTTCTGTCCATTTTTATTTTCTGGAGGCAGCAAACTTTTTCACCTAAGTGTCTGGCATTTTGCTTCTGAAAGAGGCTTATGAACATGTGGCAGTTGTATGAGTATGTATCCTGGGCAAGTCTGCCTTGTGGCTGGTGACCTGCAGGTGTTTGCTGGGTGTGTTATACTGCAGGGAGGTGGTGATGAGGGAGGCGATGCTCTGCTAGTTTAATGCCAGCTATGGGCTCCTAGCCCTCCCCTTTTCTCTCATCCCACTCCCAAGGACATGTGAGTTGGTCAGTGGGTGGCCTCTTTAGTACCTGTGAGCCCTGGTTATGGAACAGGACTCCACTATACTAGACACTGTACAAATACAGAACAGAAAAGGTAGTCCCTATCCCAGGGAGCTTATACTCTGTATAATACAGGAGACAACAGGTGGGTGACTGCAAGCAGTTAGCATGGGGAACACAAACTGAAATAGTCCCACCAATTTTGTGCACCTCAGAGTGTGTTGGTTTTGGAATGAAGTTGGTTGCTACTCATTCTCCAGGTGGTGATGAAGGTAGTGCAGCTTTTGCCAGAGGGGCACAGAATGAAGAAGGAGGTAGACATGGCACTAGATACTGTAAGTGAGACCATGACGCCTATGCATTATCACCTGAGAGAGATCATCATATGTACCTACAGACAGGTGAGTATAACCAGCCATTGTGCTTCCCAGATTAACTCTCTTCATTCTATATTTATTTTTTACACGCCTGTAAATCGAAAGGGCAGACACTTTGATTAATGGCCTAGATATCTGCCTAGTTGCATTTGGTATTTTGATTATTGTATTTTATATAGAAGACTCCTGTGTCCTGTTGTGCTCAGCACTATAGAAACACATACACAAAGGCAAAAGATTTCTAATACTGTATTGTGTCTTCTTCAAGAGCCAGTGTGTCACTTACTTATTACAGCAAAGCTTTTTGGGGCATTACTAGAGAGATCCCGGCACCTCCTTCAGTTGTGACATGCTGGAACTACTGTTGTTGGCTTTTCATTTTTCCTCAGTGCCTGAAATGGGGTTGTAAAAAGCTACTCTGGCAGTGTTATCACTGTGTGGCCAAAAATCCAAACCTGGTGCTGTAACTCTGCTCACTGTCTGAATATTGGCGTATGGTTAAATATTTGAAAGAAAATCTGCATTAGCATTGTGTTTTGAAAGCAGATGGTTTGAGCCTTATTTCCTGCGCTAGTTTATAATTCATTGCAGTCACCTCTAAAGTATGTCTCTTAAGCAGTTGCGTAGGATGGTATTCCTTTACTGTGCCCAAGTCACACAACCTCTAACAGAGCATTTCATTTTTTCAGTGGGTATTGAGGGCTGGTCATGGAGTGGGGAGGTGGTGATGAATGAAGAAAATTACAACCAAACACAAATAAAAAGCAAAAGGATGACTTTGAGACACTTGATAAATGAGGACAATTGATAGATGTACATATGACTCCATTCATAGTGGGCTAAGCTGGCTTTTGATTCCATGTCCATTGATTTTTTTTAAATAATGACACCTATTATATTGTGGCTTTGATCCCTTTCAAAACAAAAGGGCACTTCCTATTTTCAGCCAGCAGGTGGCAGATTTGCTCTTTTCTGTCTGAGTTTTGGTAATGGAATATGGTCACTTACCCAATTTATTCCTGAAGTTGTATAGCTTTTCTTTTAATGCGGGGTGAAGGGGATGGGGGAGTGTGTTTGTGGGAGGGAAGGGCGGTTATTCAGAAGTTGCCTAATACCTGTTGGAGACCTCTGGATTTCTTCTGTCCCTGCTTTTACATCTTCCTGTATGCCAGGCACCTGTTTCAGCCAAGGAGTGCACTGGATTCCCGTCAGAACCCATTCACACCACTCCATACTGGTGCCTAGCATCTGCTAATGACTTTACTTGAATAGTTCTGTATACTAACAGATTCTTTCTTGCCATGAACAATAGAGCATGTGTGCATGGGATTGCTGGAGTGAGACTCTGACGGCTGTTCAAGGAACATGTTCACTGGATACTGAATACTGTGTATTTTCATTGTAATCTCTGCAGCTTGCATAGACATGACAGAAACGAGCACAGAAGAGTCACAGAGTTAAGCTTAGCAACGAACCCTGCAGCTTCCATTTACTCATGTGCAGCTCCAAAGTGTATACAGCCAGGAAGGCCATTCTATAAAGAAAACATTGTCTGTATTACAGGCCTAAATAGAAACAACTTTTAAAATATTTTAATTTTCGTATTTTTTTTTTATAACCCTGTCTGCGAAAATCTGGCTCCCTCCCACCTGGCACCTTAACAAAAACCAAGACCTTTGAGATGAATGAAATTCAAACTTCATTGCTAGTTGGTGCCTAAGCCACAAAACCCCAGGGGACAGTGGCTCCTCCCCAGTTGCAAGCTCCTTTGCATGCTGTATTGGCCCCCTACTTGTGTGGTCCATCCTGAGAAGCAGAAAGGGGAGAGCTGGCATCTTTTTGTAGTTACCCTGTAATTCAGCATCAGACCTGGAATGTCACTGAGGTTCTGCCCCCTTCCCTCGATAGAACAGTACATTTCATGCTGGATGAGCGCTTACCCAGCTGGTTGAGCTGTACTCACTGGGCAGAAGATGCTAGCGGATTCCTGGGTTGAAGGCTTAAATGGATGCCTTTGTGGGGTGGTGATGATGGATGATAGAGCAGTAAAATAAAAACATTTCCAGGGATACTTTTAAAAACTATCTTGGTTTTTTTTTAAAAAAAAAAATCCTGGAATATATAAGCCCAAAAGCTATCTTGGTTGTTTTTTTTAAAAATCCTGGAATATATAAGCCCAAAATGTGAAAGGAGTTTTGCCAAGTTGGTTAGGCCCAAAATTTGACTTTCCTTAAAACGTTCTGACTTGGAAATATAACTTTTAAAAAGGAATAGTTGACTTTGCGGCTGTGAACTATTTTAATGCACTATTGTTGGACCAAAGCAAGAACCCCAAGTTTTGCTTCCTCCACAGTTGACTCTGCAGCAGTAGTTAGCTAATAAATGCCAAGAAGCATGCGGGTATAATCCATGATGCTAGTGCATAAATAAGAAAGTAAACATAAAAGGCACGTGACGTTTAAGTTGCTTTAGAAAAAATGTGTTGTTGGTGGAGGAGAGTAGGAAGGTCATGTTTTGCCATATAGAAAAAAGCAAAATTGACCATGGAAAAAAGTGAACAACTTTTGTAGCTCAAGTTGAATTATATTTTAAAAGTATTAGCTAGTAGTGCTGTTTTTGGTTAGTATGCACAGGTTTAAAGTTCCTTTCCTTATTACAGTGCTGGTTAGCTTCTAGTTCTGCAGCTTTTCCGTATTAGCATGAAATGTAAATACACGAACGAGGACATAAGCCCTGTGTTCTTGCAGGTAGTCTTGTCCCATATCTAGTGAAAGAGTCCTCTTTCCAGTGACCTCAGATCAACCCTATTTCACATGATGTTTTTGAAAATGGAAAGCAGAAACCTTCCAAAGTAATATGTGCCTCATGGGCATTAAAGTGAAATGGTCAGATAGGTAAGGACTCAAGTAGAGGTTTAATGTGTTACATGTTTCTTTAATTATAGTTTAATATTGATGGAAGTAGTCTCATGATTTTAAAAAACAAAAATTAAATAAAGATTGTTGAGAATGTGTTGTTTTAAACATTCCCCCACAGTATTTGCAACTTAAACTTTACTGCAATGTGCTGGAAGATTGGAAAGTGAAACTGGCTGGAAATGCAGAAAAGAAAACAAACTGCAAAGTGGTGAAAAATGAATTTTCATTATTATTTTTCTGTCTTTTTAATTATCTAAAGATACATCACTGAGGTGTAATGGTAAACAAAATAACCTAATCTAAATGCTGTATTCCCCAAATGAGAAGCTACACTACAGATATGTCTGCACATTGAGGTGGGAGTGTGATTCCCAGCCTGAGGAGAGGTGCTCATGCTTGCGCTCATCGAGCTAGCGTGCTAAAAACAGCAAGCATCAGGATGGGCTTGTAGACCTGAGTATGGACAGGCCCATCAGAGAGGCTAGGTGTGCATTTGGGGCTGTTGGCCCCTCCTGCAGCTCATGCTATTGCAGCTATATTCCACTTTAATGCATTAACTGGATAAGAGCTAGCGCAGCTGTGTCTCCTGGAGCTGGGAATCATATCTTCAGCTCAAAGTGTAGACATGCTTCAAAAATCACTGGCAAGGGTTTTTTTAAATAATCAGTGTCCTTTCAAACACCATGCAAAAAAAATCATGTCAATGAGACTTTCTCAGAATCCTTGTTATTCGCCATCCTCCTGGTCCAAACTGGAGATGTGCTGCCGTCGGTGCAATGTTACGTTCTTTGCACTTGTGAATTGCAGTTGTTGCACACAAGGATCAGGGAAGGCAGAGACTGAGGAAGGAATGCAGTTTTCAGCCCTGTTGTATGTTCTAGTCACTGAACAGACAGGTTCCAAGGTGCAGAGGAAAAGTCTTATCCTAGCCCAGTATAAAAACTCCATAGATAGCTTGGTTTTGTCTTTTACGTGTGCATGAGTTCCCCTTAAATTACTTAAAAACCCAAATTGCGGTCTCTGAGCCTTCCCACAACATTGGCACAAACCTCCCCTTCTCAGTTCTGCAGGTCAGTGAGAGGCTAAGGGAAATACAAGTCCATGCTTCAAACCCTCCTCTACCATTATTTACTTAAAAAAAATATCCCAAAAGGGACAAGTTGGTGTTATAGTTATCTCCACCCTTCTCTTGCTAAATCTGCTCTTACCAAAACCCTCAATCACAGGGATGTCAGTTCCCTTCCCGCTCCTTCTCTCTTTACCTTCCCCTACCCCCACGTTCTTTCTAACTGGTATCAGAGATCTGATTGTAGCCAGATGTGGCCCCTTTGACCCTGCTAATGTGCCTGCCACAGTCTCTGAATACAAAACAATAGGGCTTTATCCCCTCTCTTTTTTTTCTTGGTCTCATGCATACAGCTTTCTCTCTGTGGCTGCCAGCCTGATAGGTTTATTTAACTGGGGCCTGTGTTCTTACAACTATGGAGTCACCTTCCACCACATACTACTACTCTCCACCAAAAATCAGCCATACATCTTCAGAGGGGAAGGGGGAATTACAAGAACTGATGGAAATCCCATTCTCTAATAGGAATGTGTGAAGCACTGAGTGCATCTATATAGGAAAGGGAATGAGAGCCAAGAGGGAATATGTAAATTAAAAAGAGCATTGTTTAGATTATGTATTTAAAATTGTTCTTAAGGACCCAAATAAAACTGAGTGCTTTCCCAGCAATTAAACCAGAATTGATGGCAATAATAATAGTAGCAGAAGCAACAATAATCCAAAGACTGTTATATTTTAGAGGGTTGGTTAATAAGCATTAAGTGCTACTTTCTCCCTGGTATTCCCATGTTAAGTGTAGATAATTTGGCATTATTGGGTGGAGGTCATATATATTAAAAATATATATATTTTTACAGAGTTGCCATGGAGACTAGAATGCACCTAGTATCTGCCCACCCTCCATTCTGGATCTAGTGAAGTTGGGTGTTTCATTTGAGGAGCTGGATTTTTAACACCATTTCAGCTCTCATTTCAAGACTGGAAGATTTTTTTCTCTGTGCATACATTTATAAATCAGTGCCAGTAGCTCAGGAGTTGTA